TCAGTGACTTTACTGGCTCATTGAACTGAGTGGAGTGGTGATATGTTCCACAAACCTTCTGAGGTTACCCCGTCCCCCTTGTTCCTCTTCCCCAACCCCCCTCCCATGAGAACTATCCCAAACGGTATGTTTGCATTGGATGTTTGTTATGCAAATTCGATTGCGCTAATCGTGGTAATTTCGTCTGTAGTGATTTGCATAAAAGCAATAAATCCACCTCCAAGGGTATTACTAGTAACAACCGTATTCAGAAACTTGAGTGAAGAGTCAAAGTGAACCTCTCCTAGTCATCATCAGCTTCGACGCTCACAAAAGATTTCTCAGAACTCGTGGTAAGTCCGTCCTCTTGACGTCAAACTTGAAACAACCAACGTTTTTGAAGTTTTTCGAAGCATTTTTGAACTTCCGGTTTCCGGTTCATTAGAGCTTAGTTCAGTCATTCAAGAGCAGTACGGAATACACTTTTTAGTTAAAACAAAAAGGTTAATTGAACAGTGTGATCGCCTTTTTCTGAGGGAGATTTCATTTCTTTCAACACTCGTCCTACTTTTTAGTAAAAGGATTTGAGTTTTACAAAGTCGTTCAGACATTTGTAATGGCACCATCTGGGTAGCTGAATCAAAGGAGGTGGAAGGAAAACGGTTGTGATGCCAAGAAATGGGACGAGGCGAGTCTTCTCCCTTTATGTAACAAGAAAGAAACTCGAGAAGTAGTAATAAACATAAACAAGTCACCTATAAAGATCGCCATTTCTCAGCTGCTACTCTAAGTTTCTCGAAAATGTTGATCACAATGGTAAGAAATCAATCTTAGCCACCTGTAGCTATTAATGACGAAAACTTTGAAGATCGAACACATCTTATTACCAGTTCCTAAGAGTTTCTTGCAACCAGGACAAAAATGTGTGGCATGGTATGGTAATGGAACAAACAACAATGGAGAGAAAGGCGACGAAAACATTTTGGAACATGGAAAATCTAGACTTTAAAAAACAGTACCGGTTCAGGTACTAGAAACCATTGGGTCCGATTTAAAATGGCTTCGAACTCATCACCCAGCAGTTGACGTCATTTTGGGGGGCTATAGAGTGACGTCTACCAACAGAGGGCCAACTGATC